ACCTTAAGCATAACGAATTTAATGCGTAATTTTCCGAATCACTTAAGGCTTTCATTTCGTCGTCTAGTGCTCTAGGTCAACGCACCCGACTCCTGCGGCATTGACGTCATCAGATTTGCGGCTGCTGCTCCTGCTCCTGCTCCTGCTGCTGCTGCTTGGCTATCATTTTAAATTATGCAAAACTAACAAGCAAATGAGAACACAATTAAATGAAAAATGCATTCTGCCTGACTGGCAGATACCCAGTATATGCATAGAGCTGGTAGATGCCAGAGAGAGAGAGAGAGAGGGAGAGTAACACAAGGATGCATTCGTATTTTATTAGGCCTAGTGTTAGCATATAGAAATGCTTTCAAACTGTTCCCAAGCATTGCGCCCTTCTCTGCGATTCTCACAAGTTCAAGTAAGTATTCAATGCCAGCTGCAATTCATTTAGTCATATTTTATTAGAGACAAAAAAAAAATGGGACCAAGGCAAAGGATTTAGTTCAGTGGTAGAGAATGCCAAACTGTCGCTGGAACTGGCCAACCGAGAGCGTTGTACAAATCAGTCTAGGCGTTGCTAATACTATGCTGGACGTGGGCGGGACGGGGCAGGGCTAGACCACACTGTTGGACTCAACGGTGCTGGGCGTGGTGTGCTGCGGCTCGAGTGCCGCTTTTGTGGTAAGCGCTACGCCAACGGCGACGTCAGCCTCTTCCGCCTCGGCGGACGCATCAGACTCCTCGTCCTCCTCCTCCTCCTCCTCCGTGTCGTCCTCCAGGCCAGCCTCGTCGTTGTCAATGTGGCGCGCCTGTAGGGCAACAATATTGCGCTCCGCGGACATTACATCTGCGGCTCCAAGCGGCGCCGCCGCTACAGGACCGCTGCTAATGGACACGCCCGTTGGCCGATCCCGATCGGAGCTGGTGGCGCCATTCAGACCCAGGCCCGACAGACCGGACATGCTGGACATGCTGGACATGCTTGGCATGCTGACTGGACACATGCAAGGCACGAACTGGATGCGGTTGCCGCCCTTCTCCGGGAACGCGTTCGGCGGCTGGTAGTTGAAGTAATCCGGATACGGATATTGCGGACGCGCATTATACAAATTGTTCACGCGACGGCTGTAGGTCGGATACTCCGCATTGTAGGCAGCGTAGCGCAGCGATGAGGCGGAGCCCTCGGTGCTGCTGCTGGGCGGTGGTGCGCTCGTGGTGCTGCTGGTCGTCGTGGTGGTTGTTGTTGTCGTTGTCGTCGGTGCCGGCGTCGTTGTCGTTGTCGTCGTGGTGGTGGGCGCGGGCGTTGTGCTGGGCACCGCGCTGCTAGCACTGGCCAGAGCCGGCGGCGTTATGTCCGTCTTGAAGGCACCCGCACCACCAGCACCACCCGCGCCACCAGCAGCAACATCATGACGTCGAGCAGCCGCGTAGCTGGTCACCTGGGCATAGGGGTCATAGTGTCGCCCCGAGAGCAGCGGCGTCTGTGCCGCGCCAAACCCGAACAGCGGCACCCCGAACGCACCGCCCGTCAGCGGCTGGTAGGTGTAGGTGCGAAAGTAGGTGAGTGGTATCTGCTGCAGCACCTGACTCCGCGGCGTCTCCCTGCGAACAAAGAAGCAAGCCAATCATTATCAACTGCCAGCTGCACACCCCCCAGCGTCCGGCTGACTTACGTTGTCGGCTTGGGCCACCAGAAGCCGCTCGTGGGTAAGGGCAGCGCACAGAGGCCAACGATGAGCTGCAATCACATGGCAATGAATAGCTATTAAGTGTCTCATGAATTATTGGGCATCATTAGTAAATATGACGAGTCATGGCAATGCTGTCTGTTAATTATTATTATCGTATCGTTGGCAAGTCTACCATATCGAAATTGTCTTCATCATTATGTATTGACTGCATTTACATGCTCTGAAGGGCTTTGACTGCAAAGCTCTTTGGTCAGGATGTTGGACTATGTTTATGTATCTAGGAAGGAGTTTCGATTGTACATTCGATATTTAATTAAGGATGGGATTAGTATTTAGATTTCATATATAAAAAAAAATATTTAAAAAAACTTCATATTTCGTTTTTTTTTGGTTTATTTTTAACCGAATTATATTTGTAAAATTGAATCCGGTGTTAATTTTGTTTTTCAATAAAAAAAATTGTTGAAAAAAAAAATATAAAAGAAAATGTGACCACACAAATATTTTTCTTTATATCTAAAAATATTTTTTATATTATTTATCATGTTTTAAATTTTTTTATATTTTGTCATTCAAGTTGTATTCTATAATGTTATTAATATTTATAGTATATTGTTAAAAAATTGTCCAATATAAAATAAATTCTTTAATAATAAATTTGTGTAGTTTAATTGTTATAATAATTATTATTTTTAAAATATTTCCTTTTTACTGAATTTTATATTACAGCTTTTTTATGATAATTATTGAATTAAATATTTAATACACAAAAGGGGTTTTAAATTCCTTTTTAAAATTTTTATTGTATTATTATTAAAAGGAAAACTAATTTTTGCTAGCATAATTATTCTTATTTTGAGGCAATGCTTTAATTGTTATAAATATTTTGTATTCAAGTTTATTTATTTGTATTTATTAATTTATATATATTAATGTTAATTATTTAATTTTCTATGAATGTTTTAGCTATGTAAAATTTTTTATTATTTGCATTTTGGTTTCTTTTTCGTTTTATTTATTTTTTTTTTTTAAATTTGAATTTTGATAATAATTTTTTTGATTTTGATTATAATTTTTTTGATTTTGATTATAGTTTTCTTATTGTTTTCTTTATACATTTTTTGTTTAATATTCGAATTCAATTATTTATTTAATATATTCATTTTTTAAGTTTCAAAACTTTTGTTATTATTTTAATTGCATTTAAATTTTGTGTAGGGCTTTTTAATGTTTATAATTATTATTTTTCAAATATTATTTTTATTGTTATCATTTAAAATTAGAATTTCTTATGGATTTTTCTTTTCAATAATTTTCCTTCACATACCACAAGATATTGCCACATTTTCGTTAGATTTATACTCAATAGGCGCGATAATATTTGTGTTGAATATTTTTTGTTTGCCTCCTGTCTGATAATCCTGCACAGGCTAGCGATATCACAAAACACCGTAAAAAAAAGGCAGAGGTAGAGTGAACGAATAGAATCGAATCGAAGCGAAGCGAAGCGCGAGAGGGTTCGTACGCGTGCGCAGCTGCGTTTGCTCTAAACCCAAAGACAGTTGGAGGCCGAGCTTTTATATCGTGGACGCCGAGAGTCGAGGCTGCGGCTTGGGTTACTGGCGGCTGCATCCATTTCCATTTCCATTTTCATTTCCATTTCCACATTTCCCCACATTTCCAGCTGCCCTCGAGCTGCATGCGTCAGACATGGGTTGGCTGGACGGGCGGGGGGGAGGAGGCGGTCACACGGCGCGCGTCTTGTTGCCGTTTGCCTTTTGTTTTTGTGGCACGTTGCACGTTGCACTGTGGCGGCGGCTGCGGCGCTGCAGAGCGCGAGAAAATTAATTGCAGGCTTGGAGAGAACTGAAAAGTCGTATAGGAGAGCGAAAAATAAGTCGGGAAATCAATAATAATAATGAACGTGCCGTGCCATAAGAATAGAAAGCCCCATCATTGACAAAATGATTGAATGAATGACGTCGGCCCTGTGGCAGGGGGCGGGAGGTGGGGACGGGACTGTTGCCCCGCCATAGGCCATTGGATTAGCCATAAATATTTGTAGATGACTATTTTCTCGGTTTTATTTGTATATCGATTTTCTGTTCATTTTGTTGTTGTTTCTTTCTTTTTATTTCTTTATTTTTCAGCTTTTCACACATCGAAATTTGATTTTCTTTTGATGCTGGAATTTGGGTCACACAACATTTCCATCTGCCGCTGGCAGACTCGTGATTGTTTTTGCACGCTGCTCCGCCAGAGGTCTCAGCTCCTCCAGCTCCTCCAATTCTCGTCCCCCATTGGGCTCTTCTTATGCAATGGTCGAGCAGAACAATTGGCCCCAAGGCATTGGAATTGAGTGGCTCGATCATTAAATCTGCATTTTATGACAACTTTCTAGCCGAAACTTTGCCCACAAATGCCTCGTCTTTGTGTCTCTTGGAATTTATTGCCATTTTTTATGGGTGCTCGACCCTTTCAGAGTCTTATACGACCCGCCCAAAAGAACAGACAGAGATGAATCAGAAGAGGTAGATGATGAGTCCAGGAGGTTATTGAGGTGTTAATGGAGCCCAGTTTTAATGACATCGCTGAGCAGCTCATGAGCCGTTAAGACGCGAAATTCTAGGGTCAAATGTCCAGGTCAGTCCATCAGGTGATCATGAGCCGATCGATCGATTGAGAAGAGCTTGAAAGAACGTTAAAGTGCCGTGTAATTAGCTTTTTCTGGAGATGAACGATGAAGCCTAAAAGAGAGAGGGAGAGGGAGAGAGAGAGAGAAGGAGAGGTCCAATTGTCAAGATGTTTAAAGAACGAATGATCAAGGATTACAAAGCAATAAATAATGATCAGTAGATCAAGCAACGATCATTTACCACATAAACAATTTAAATATTAAAATAAATAGTCCATCCTATTTTGTCATTCAAGATCAAGAATAGCTTGAGGACTGTCGAAAGTATTGCAAGAACTATATCAAAAACTGAATCAAGTCATGTCGAACAAAACCCAAAGACGAAAGCAAATTAAGACAAGATCAGTTAAAAAGACCATGACTTCATCTCGAAATACTGTGTGATCTAATGTTGATATATCGAAATCGCAGAGAGACAGAGAGGGAGAGATTAGGTGAACATAAAAATGCAGCTAAGAATCAGTCAAGAATCAACTAAAGTCCGGATAAATAATGAAACAGGACTTAAGATCAAATTACGATCATTTATTTCTATTACAAAAAAAAAAAAAAACTTATTGCTAAAAATAAATATTAAAGATGACAAAAAAATAGTTTCTGTATTATACAATAATAATGAAGATCACATCAGAGATTACTGGCAGAAGTGGGTGGCATCCAGCTAGCGGGGCGGATTCTGCACGTACTTGGATGTGTAATACTTGACCTGATCCTTGCCCTGGTCATTGCGATGGCGCCCTTTGTATCTGCAAATAAATACGAAGGACAGTCATATGAATAGGCTGGAGTAGTTCCGGTGGCTCGCTCACCGGGAGTTCAGAATGAACCAGGTGTTATCCTCGTGGTCCAGGCAGTCGGAACCGGAACCGGAGCCGGAGCAGTCGAGCTGAATACTCGACGATCTCTGGGGCTTGGGACTGCGCAGCAGCTTGCCCAGCGTGTAGACGGGAAAGGCAAAGTACTCCCGCTTCAGGGCGTAGCGCGAGCTCTGCCGCTGCAGCGGCGGCGCCTCGGTGGTGCTGGCCAGCGAGTCGTACGGTGCCTCCATGCTCTCATCCACGTAGACGATCTGGAAGGAAGAAGCAGAACTCCCGGCGCCGCTGACGGTGCTCGTGTGTGTCTCCTCGAGCAGTGCCGCCTCCGAGGGCGCTGCCAGTTCCAGCTCCTGACTGACGGGATCTTCAATCTCAGCCTCCAGCTGCTCGAGCTGCTCGAGATGCTGTTGCTCCGGTGGCGCGGTGAGCGTGCTGTCGGTGGTTGCCACCATGTAGTGCCGATGATTGTCTGGTGGCTCCAGTGGGCGCGAGCTGCGCAGCTTTGGCTGCCACTGCACCACCTCCTGGGGCGAGTGATAGGCGCTGTACTGCTTCGCCTTCTTGGCCTTCCGCTTGTGCTTGCTGCGCGGCAGCTGCGTCTCGTAGGGCATCGTCATGGGCGTGGTCGGTGCGAGCGGCTCCGAGGCAGTTGCAGTGCCCGGGCCAGTGGCTGGCGCGGATGCTGGCGTCGGATCAGTTGGGTACGTTTCTCTGGTGCTGACTGCGGCTCCCGTGCCTGCTGCGACTGCAGTGGTGGAGGTGGTGCTGGTGGCTGCGGCTGCGGCTGTGACTGCGGCTGTGGCCATTGTCTGCGGTGGCATGGTGATGGCCTCGTGCGCATAGAAGGGAATCAGCGTCAGATTGAGCAGCTCCCGCTGGCCAGGCAGGCGCAGCCGCTCCACAATCGGCTTGGGCCGGAACATGGGCGTCGAGGGCGGGTAGAGCACCTGCCCGGGCACCGGCTCCTGCATGGGGTAGCGCTGAGCGCTCAGCATCGTGTTGAGCAGCAGCTCCCCGCGGGTGCCATTGTAGACGAAGATCGGGTAGCTGGCGGTGGGCAGAGCATTGTCGCCGGGCGCGCTGTCGAAAATGGGCAGCGACTGCGGCTGGCGGCGTCGCTGCGCCGGCTTCGGCTTCGACTGCGGCTGCGGCCGGGAGGTGGTCTGTCCCAGCTGCTGGACGTAGTGGCTCGGCAGCTGGACGCGATGCGGCAGCACATAGTGGCGCTGGGCTAACGAGGGTCTGGCCAGCGGCGGCGCCACCAGACGCTCCACCTCCTCGGCTGAGTCGGGCCGGACGCGTATTGTGATCGCTGTGGGCAGATGCTGGCGCTGCTGCCGACGCTGGACACGCTGGCCACGCTGGGCGCGTCGCATTATTGTGGCGCGCGTGCTGGTGGCATAGTCCGAGTCCTGCCTGGCCTGGCGCCTCATCAGCTCGTCCTCGAGTATCCAGAGCGGCCGCTGCGCCGCGTCCAAGTAGCTGTGGGCCAGCGAGTAGGGCGTGCGCGCCGGCGTCCACGCCCAGCTGCCGGGCAGGGCGCTCAGCAGGCGCAGCAGCGCCAAGGTCCAACTGCTCAGCGCCTCCATTTGGGTGTGCGTCTTCCAATTAAATGGCCAAGAGGGCAGCCCCAGCTGCACTCTTTATAAGCGCCAACAGCTCGCCAACAGCTCGCCGAGTGCTTTCGCTCGAGGGCTTGCAAATAATCGTCCGACTTGTTTTCGGCGGGTCAGGGCAGTTCAGTGGGTTGTGCCACATCAAGTCCGCTCGAGTGGCTCAAGTGGCTCAAGTGGTTCTAGGCCATATTTACGCCTCACTCAACATTGTCGCATGGCAGTGTTGAACTTGTTTCACTGCAAATCTGCCATGGGAGCTAGGCCTTCGATTCCCCTGCCCCCGTCCCTGTGCAGCCTTAAGTGGATAATGAGTCCAGAGCCGAAAGTCTAATGGCAATCGAGTCTTAAATCAAAAATTTCACCCATTTTCCACTATTGTGCGTGAAATTGGGCCTAAACGCGTTTCACGGCCCACTAAAGGTCGGCTTCGAATAGATTGGATTGGATACGAATTTCTTGGCTAATCTTCCAGGTTCTATTCCGATGGCTGCTAATGGATGGCTCTACTGGCCGCAGACTGCAGCTGTTGTCCAGTCGAACCAAAATAGGGGGCAGCAAACGTAGGGCGTGGGGGTTAGCGGGCAGGAGGCGGCAAGCAGGAGGCGGCAGGCAGGGGGTTTGGAACGGGGTTGGGGAAAGCCTTCCTTCGCATATGGACAGCTGTCAAAACGGACATTAATCAAAACACTCTAACTGATTTGGTTTCTTGCGTTACGGAATGCTTCGACATGCAACAATATTTTGGATGCATCGCTTGACGTTCGTCGATCAAAACATGGCAGCCGATTCTGATGGGAATCCAGCTATGTTTAGGGCCAACAAAGTCTGTGTGTGTATGGCTGTGTGTGTGTTTGTGTGTGTGTGCTTAGTTCTGGGTCTTTTGTTTCACATGTGGCTCTATGGCTCTACATGTGTTTCTAGTGCACGGTGTTTGGAAAAACAATTTGGGCGACCTACAAGTATTTCCCAAGCTAGAACGAGAACGCGAGCATGAACGAGAGCGAGAGCGAGAGAGGGTGGCCGAGAAAACTGACAAACTGAACATGACCACAGCCGAGTGGAACAAGTGGAACGGCCCCGCCAAAATGGGGTTAATAGCCTTTGACAGACAATCGGATGGACCGCGGGCGGTGCGGTGCGGTGTAGAGCGATGCGGCGCGGCAATCGTGAGTTCTCACTTTTGGCAGGGGCAAAGAAAATGGAAAATGAGTATGGAAAAATGATTTATTAGCCTGTATCTGTGGCTTTGATCGATCAATCGGCGCTATCTGCTGGTGCCTGCTCTTGTTCTCCGTTCCATTATAGGCCTGTTCCGTCAGCTAATTACAAAAATAAAATCATTTTCCCCGATTGCCTGAGATCTTCGGCTACAGCGACGATCAGCTCTGAAGACCGACTCCAGCCAGGGCTGTGTGAACGAACGAACGAACAAACGAACGGATTGAGAACGGATTTCCAAGTATATCCATTCATTCATATCGATTATTAAGTGCTATGTTTAGGTGGTAATTTATGGCTGCGATATTATATCATTTCGTTTGAGATCTCTCTCTCCCTCCCTCTCTATCTGTCTCTCAGTCTATCACTCCCTCTCTGACTGGCTGTCTGATCCAATTGCGTGACTTTACAGCATAATTAGATTGAATTGGAGGGCATTTGCCAGGGCTTTATGAGCTTTTAATGGTCTCTAATGCATTTTAAATTCGCTTAAGCGCATTGATACCATTATCCAGGGGAGCTTCTTCTTATCTGAAATTCCACACTAACTTCTCGAGCTATCGCACACGCTAACTCGTGCCCATAATTAACAGCTAGAAATATTTGGACAGACTTAAGACAAACGCCAACACACACACACACGCACACAATGGTTGAGGAATGTTGGACTGGCATGTAAATCATGGGGTATCTTGGGTAGCGGGGGCCCAGTCAAGCGCATCGCATTTTTGACACCAACAATTTGTTCCGTCAATTTGTTATAGAATGCATTTTATGCAAATGAAATCTGTCCTCAATCTATCTCACAGAAACTTCACTTAGCGACCTGAGACATGTCTGTGTGTGTGTGTGTGTGTGTGTGTGTGGGTTTACCTGTGCATCATATTTTGTGGCATTCTTCTTCTTCTCCTTCTGGCCGGGCTGCGTGGCATCAACTGATTGATGCGCCGCATAGAGCGCACTATGAATAATAAACAATAAACTAATCAAGAGCCAAAGCGAAGATCACCAGATGCATCTGTCAGATACACTTGCGACCTGACAGATACAGATACAGATACAGATACAGATACAGATACAGATACAGATACAAATGCCGATGCAGCGACAGCTTAAGCTAAAGATACGCGGAGACAAAATGTCAAATGATTCGTTTGTCTTAAGTCTTATATCGTAAGTGTGGACACAAATGTATGTAAAGAGTTAAATACATGAATAAACACTCATTTGACGTGGGTAGGCGGTGGGATGACTGGGAATGCCGCCTAATGACATTTGCCAGAGAACTAAGCTATCTAATGGTCAGGTGTGAAATCTCTAGATGTTGCTGATCTCTAGAAAGCTAACAAGAAGTAAAATTCCTTTTGTGGATCGTATGTAAGGAGTTAAATACATATCTGAATGGAATTTGATATTCTGATATTATTAAGAATACTCTTATTAATATTAGAGAGTTTTAGCCTTGAACTTAAAATCGTGAATCTTGTGTTCCGAAGGCTTTAACTAATGTTTTCATATATTGGTTACAAAAAGAGAGGGAGAGAGAGAGACAGAGAGAGAGAGAGAGAGAGAGAGAGGCAGAGAGAGAGAGAAGAGAAAGAGAGAAGCAAACGAATAAGACAAGAGAGTGAAAGAGAGAACAAGACGGAATGATGAGAGAGAGAGATACTGAAGTACATCCACATTTACACGAAAGAAACGCAGAGAGTTTAAGGATTAGAGAGATATATATTGAGAAAGAAGCAGAGACATAGAGAGAGACAGGAAGAGAGAGAGAGAGAGAGACACAGAGATTGGGTGAAAGATAGAGTAATATAGTGAGAGAAATAGAAATGCAAGAATGTAAAAGACAGTCTAGAGACAAAGAGGGAGAAGAAAGAGTATATATGGATGGGGGAAAGACAAAGAGATATTGCTACATGTGTATGTACATACATACACTTGTTTCTAGATATATCCATACGATGCGTATCTTATCAGTCAACATGTAATCGCTTTGCTCACATCTAAATAATTACCCTAGTCCCGCATACAATCTGTTATATTTATTGGGCTCTTCAGCTTGTGGCCAGCGACCATCGACGTGTAATCTTATCTGCCTGGCTGTGGCCATATCAATCAGTATATTAATTACAAGTCAATCCATTATACAACTCGGGCCATCAGCTGGAAGTGCACTCTCAGTGGAAGAGGGAAACGGCAGAAGAAACAAACCAATAACAGCACAAAGAGTTGACACTCGAGATGACGTCGCGTCGTCGCTGATCACCGAAAGCTCTTCGTGCGATCCGTTAATTGTTATTGGGCAGCGACAAGCGAGCAGCGACAAGAGAAGCTCTTCCAGCACGCGTCGTGGCGACTGGCGACGACTGCGTCACTGAAAGCTCGGCCACTGGTGGCTCGTCTCGCCTCGTTGCCCGACGCGACGCTGCGTCGTCGATTGTCCGACTCCAGCCCTGGCAGCATTCAGCATTCCATTCGCCTGCCTGAGCTCAGTGCGAATTCTGTTGTCGAGGCGCGCGGCGGCTAAACGTTGAGTCCATTGCTTGCTCTCTCTCTCTCTCTCTCTCTCTCTCTCACTCTTACTCAGTCAATCGCTGACGCTCTTGCTGTATTTGTATTGCGATTCTTGTTGTTGCTGTGTGTTTTTTTTACTATTTTGTTTTCATTGCCCAACTTGTTGTGACTATCGGAGCGGGCATCTAGCAACAAAGTGAGCACAGCTTCAGATATTTCGACTTCAAAATTGTTTTTGTTTAGACTCTACAAATTTTCTGCTCATAATTGCTTTTTTTTTAGAATAAGAAGGAACAAAATATAGCTAAAAAATAAAAAATCAGGCTGAAAATTGGCGCATAAGCATAGACAACATAACTATATAAGTGCGGAGCTAATTTATATATGGGTATCTAACAAATAAACCTCTGGTCTCAGTCCGCATTCCAAGAACCAAGCAGCTCAGCACAGCGCCGGAAGAAAGCAACGAGATGAGCAGTCAAAATGATCATATACCCACCATATCGCCGGGCCGCAAAGCCGTCTTCCAAGTGCTGTCAGGTGGTTCGGCCGGTTTTCTGGAAGTGTGCATCATGCAGCCTCTGGACGTGGTCAAGACTCGCATGCAGATTCAGGCACGGCCCGCCGCCATCGCCGGCTCACACACGGCCGAGGTGAGTTCAAGCAATCATCAGCTGGCCATTCCAATGTAAACAAAGGTGTTTTTGCCAAAGGTAATCGAAGTGAATACAGTTCAAGGGGCTTATGTTGACAGCGTGTGTATTTGCCTGTGAGTGTGTGTGTGCGTGTGTGTGTGAGTGTGAGTGTTTGTATGTGTAGCTTAAGCAAAACGCCGATAAGAACCAGACAGCTTTTATGACCATGCCCAAAAAAGCGAACTTAGCACGCACCAATCTCGCTGGCCAACTGATAGGGTACATGTGCAAGTATGTATGCGTGTGTGCGTATGTGTGTGATAGGTCGTGTCAAGGTCATCAGAAGTGACAATCGAGCAAATATACATAGATATACATACATACATATGTAGCTATCCAATGGGCAATGGGCTTGCACAGCTGACGAGTGCTTCGATATTAACAAATACACACACACAAACACACTCACACACACCCACATACATACATACATACATATGTACATGTGCTTATGTAGTGCTTATCGATTGGGCGCTGTTTTCAAATATTTTCGACTTATCCCTCTCTCTCTCTCTCACTCGCGCTCTCTCTCTCTCCGCTATCGCAACGCGTGCCGCACTTTGTTTCCAACTGAAATGAGACAACCCGAATTGACCTATACAGTTAACAATATCTTATCGGCCTATGCTTGAGATCTTATTACTGGTCTTAGCTTTTGAGAATGCACTTGACGTTGCTCTAGGGATAACTGGCCATATATTAATACATATATGTATATAGTCCGCTCTTCTGCTGCTATAATGCCTATACTACTGCCGGCTATATACTGAATAATGCGGAGAATAAATGAGAACAAAGAGAGATCTAGTTATATCTATAGATATATGTGTGCATATGTATGTCAAGATATGCATATAGAGAAGTATATATGTATGTATAATTAGCACACGGAAACTCTTTTCTTTATACACATAGTACATATGTATATAAATATTACTGTATATATGTATGTATACATAGCTGAGAAATAATTAATAGCATCACTATGCAATTCGTGCGTGGCGCTACATATTTTATTTTTCTCCACAGTATGCACAGTTATACGCACATATCAATATACATACATATACATATATTTATGTATTATATTCATATGTCTAGTTTTTGAACATTTTCTGTGTTTAAACAATTTGTTAGCACATTATTAAAATAGATGCAAAAAAGTAATTCAAATGACATGCACATACACACTCACACCTCTCTTCTACACACACACACACGCACGCAAAGTTAAGTCAGCTAATAAACTAATTCCGAAAGCTTAGAGTGTTTTTGTTTGTTTTCTTCCGTTTCATTATGATATTTGCGTGCCGTGAGCACTGGAAAATGGAACAAGATTTTGGCTGTTTTGAAGCCAAATGGCGCTAAATTTAAATGTATTTTTGATGAAGTTAAATAAATTTCACAATGGAAAAGAAGGGAGAGATGGGGATATATAGAGACAGATATTGTCCTTACTCCAGTCTGTATAATGTAAGCTTTACTAACAGAAAGAAGAGGGAACTACTTAAGGCTTAACAATAAATACTCAACCACAATTGTCTAGGGGCTGAGCCCTACCTATTAATATTGAGAGCCTGACGATAAATGAATGAATTACTCTAAGCAGGTGCACTACTCTGGCGTGTTTGACTGCTTCGCCAAGATGTATCGCCAGGAGGGCATCGCGTCGTATTGGAAGGGTCTGATGCCTCCGATACTGGCCGAGACGCCAAAGAGGGCCATTAAGTTCCTGGTATTCGAGCAGACGAAGACGTTCTTCCAGTTTGGCTCGCCAACACCGACTCCGCTGACCTTCGCCCTGGCGGGTCTGACGGCCGGCACCTTGGAGGCGATTGCCGTCAATCCGTTCGAGGTGGTGAAGGTGTCGCAGCAGGCGAACCGCCAGAAGAAGCTGATCGGCACCTTCGATGTGGCGCGGGACATTGTCCGGAACGAGGGCATCGGACTGCGAGGGCTCAACAAGGGCCTGACCGCCACAATGGGCCGCAATGGCGTCTTCAACATGGTCTACTTCGGCTTCTATCACAGCGTCAAGAACCTGGTGCCGGAGAGCAAGGACAACACCTGGGAGTTCATGCGCAAGGTGACCATCGGCTTTCTGGCCGGCACTCTGGCCTGCTTCGTCAACATACCGTTCGACGTGGCCAAGTCGCGCATCCAAGGGCCCCAGCCGGTGCCCACGGAGATCAAATACCGCGGCACTCTTCGCTCCATTATCACCGTCTACAGGGAGGAGGGCTTCCGCGCTCTCTACAAGGGCCTGGTGCCCAAGATCATGCGCCTGGGTCCCGGCGGAGCCATAATGCTCCTCGTCTTTGACTACACATACGAATACCTGTTGTTGAATCACTCATAGTCCATCACTTCTACACCTAGCACTAAGAAACTGTTGGAATTTTTTTAGATATGCCGAAAAACCCCTAAAAATCTAGTTCATAATTTAACACACGTACGCAAATGACACAGCTTGGCAAACAGATGTAAATACATAATTATATATATTTGAAAGCGTTTCCATTATATTCTTGAGTTCTTAATTCAGTCCAAAGCCTAGAGGGATTTTCAGATAAGGAGCAGAAATTTCCCATATACAAAAGCGGAATAGTTAGAGCGAGAAAGACTAACAATGGAATAAGAGGAAAGAAAGAGAAGAGTGCGTGCGTGACTAATTGAGATACGATATCTTAACAACAAATAAAGTTAATGACGGTTGGAATACTTCTACATACCGAAACTCCTAAATGTCCTAAAAAATCTTCGTAGCTCCTAGCTCTCCAATTGAATCAGTTTTTGAGTCAATGTAAGCAATCCAACAAAGTCTGATTCTCGGTAACTTAACATCAAATTCAGACACGCGTGAAGGCTCCCACTCGATCAAGCAACACCGAAAAATATGCTACAGCATTTGAAAGAATACTCCAGAAATAGTCTACTTTCCGAGAGTTAAAACACAGTTTAAGTGCTTAGTGAAATCTTTACCTAAAACCTTACGGATATATATGTAGATGAGTTACTCAGTGTCAATAAGCTCATTGCCAAATCGTATGCCTATAACATATACTCTCCGACCATACAAATACAGAGGAAGTACTCAGTATACCCATAAGCATGCACAGATCAAAGGTAAGTAAAGCCATGTTAAAAAGTGCTTCGTAGGTCCATTAATTGATAAGTCGTACGCACATACATACAAAAGGCCATCAATTAGTAATTCCTATAGCCGTATACTCTCCAACAATGCAAATATTGAATATGCATTTGGTATACCTACAACCAAAACAGATCCATGGCAAGTAAAACCATCAATATTACATTTAGTCTATGAACATCTTTTGTAGTATTTATGTATAAGTAAATCGATTCGCATAGCCTAGGTCTCAAGATAAATGTGGGTACATATATAACACATACTTGGATGTACTTTCTTTCGATTCTGGTATATAGGTGTGTGTATACATTTGGATGCTTGTCGGATATATGTATCTTGTTGCGATTTCCATATAATTAGTCGGAACATTTAACATTGTGTAGCTGCAACAGAGATCAAGGTAATATACATGTATATATAATTACATACATATATAGTAATATGTGTGTGTGTGTGTGTATATATATAGAATTCGTTTACTATTTTTGTTCTGTTTAATTTTTTACTTATATATAGACAATTGAATTGGATTACAATTAGTATAAGGTTGGCAGAAGCGAGCAATTGGTTGTATTTGATTCATTTCCTATGATACGATCCATCAACATTCTCATTGTAATTCGTTACAAACATGTGTCATTAATTAACTGTTTCCTTCTCTTTACATATTTCTTGTTCTTGTTTTGTTGCAGTCACTCAGTGGTTCGTGTTCGTTTTTCCCCTCTTTTGCTATCGTCTTTTGAGGCAATGTTAATCTCGTTTGGACCACAGACTAAATATATATATATAGATATACATACATATATATATGCAGCTAACTTAAGACTATTTAATAAAATTGTAAAAAAAATCTCTATATTTATATATAGATGTTAGGTTATTCCAAATTCTCTCGCTCAACTCCTCTTTTGCTATGCTTTTGCACATGTTTATTAAAGAGAAAAGAAAAGAAAGGAAAAAAAAAAAATTACACACATTCAATTGCTAACGTAATAACTATCATAATAATAAAATAAATATGATTTATTTTAATTATCTGAATTTGTTTTTCTTGTGTGTGTATTCAAGGTATATCATCAAGTCAAAAAAATAATGCTGCAGACATTTCCTATTTGTATGCCAAAATCCGGAAAGAGAATAATCAAACACATCTGTTCAGTCAATTCGTGAACTAATCAATTTTGGTCTATATGAGTGTGTGTCTATATATATATATATATATATATATATATAGACTGCCTGCCGTCCTATCCATGAAATTGTTTGTAAAATGCATTCAAGTCCCGGTTCCAGAGTCCTCTCTCTGTGTGTCTGTCTTTTCAGTCAATCTTTTGTGTGCACGCACGCGTCTGTCTCTGGGTTTAACTAATATACATGCCTATGGCATATACCTCGCCTGCTGATCTATCCATAGCTTTTTGACAACAAATTAAAAAAAAAATTAATGAAAACAAAAAAAAAAAAAAACAAAAACAAAAACAATCTAAAATGCATTACTCTGCCGTGTGTTTTCTGTTTTTCTTTTTCTTTTAGATATGAGCCCGTTTCCTTTTCTGCTCGTCTTTTCAGTCGTTGTAGGTCGCGCTCCAAATGTGGTGCGCGCTCCAAATGCAATTATTTAAGGATAGTAACGAAAACAATTCAGGAACAGTATTAAAAGAATTAAATAACTTCCAAATATCTATGCTAAGCTAGTGGAACGATGCGGGCGGCCATTTTGCACCGCTGGAGCTGATCTCCAGTTTCTAATAGATACGCTCGTAGAACAGCAGATACGCCTGCGCGTTGAGGGCTGCCTCCTCGCTGACTTCCTGGACGCGCGAGTCCGATACGTAATACCATTTGCCGGGCGGTGCCTTCACATTGGCCGCTTCCTCCTCGCCGTTGGCCATGCCCGCCGGCTGGTCGGATGAGCCGTCAGCGGCCGCAGCCGGAGCAGGAGCGGCAGCAGCATCATCAACAGATTCAGAGGTGGAATCATCTGTGGTGGATGCATTGCTGCTTGAGCTGGTGAAATCGTCGCTATCATCCAAGGCATTCATACGCATCTCACGGGCCTTCTCCTTGGCCAACAGCTCCTTGAGCTCGTCGCCCTGATCCAGCTCCGCTTTGCTGCCGTGCGGCAAGAATTTCCAGCGCTTATCATCGGGAGTCACCTTCGGTCGCACCTTCACATAGGCGGTGTAGTGGCCGCCGTATAGGCCGCCAGAGTGCTCCACGACGCCGTAAAGCGCATAGAGCAGCTTCTTCTGCTTGCGATCGATGTTGGGCAAGTTCTTCACTTTGGAGCCGCAGAAGGCGGCTATGTCCAGCATGACAGTGTAGCTGACCGGGCGCGTCAGCTTTCGGAAAATGCAGCGCGGCCCCAACTGGAATCTCTTCAGATGTAGGATGAGCACAGCCGGCGGACTGGACACCAGCAGCTGCTTGGTCGCATTTGTATTTACGGTTTTGGCTTGGGGATCGGATCCGTTGATGCGGCGGGTGCAGCTCTCGCAGCCGACTTTGTTCTGGCCCGTCATCAGCTCCACGGCGGTGAAATTGTTGAGACACGACGCCACCGAGCACTCACCCACCTCGCACTGATAGCGCGGCGCAATCGTAGTGCTCCAGTCCGAATAGCTCTGGGTGCGCACACGCCTTAGGGTCGCCGCATTCTTGGCCTGCTCCTGCAGCTTCAGCTGCTCCATCTTCAGCTGCAGCTGCCCCGATGACAATTGACGTATTTGAGAGGCGCCCTTCTCGCTCAAGCTGGCGTTCACCAAGCAGGCAGCCACGCCGTCAGCTGGGGCGCTCGCATCGTTCCCACTGTTGGCTTCATTGTTATTGTTGTTGCCATTGCTGGCGGTGCTGGTGGTGCTGGCCGCGCTGTTGGTTGATGTAGTGGGTGCCGGGCTGGTGGCTATGCCTGAGTCTGTAAACATAAATAGAGCGAGATAGCATTAACATTTGCCGTCCCTTTCGTATGCATTCACATTGTCAACACATTCAGATTGCTTGCTCACCATTCTCGTCCTCCTCCAGCGAATCCTTGTCCATGTGCTCGGGCGTATCGTCGCGCTTCTCGCCCGCCGGCTGCGAGTTGCCGTTGCTGTCTGTGTAGAACTTGGCGTTGCTGCCGCCGGCCGCGTCATCGACCAGATTGTCCTCAACGTCGGCGTCAGAGTGCTCCGATGAAGTTGCGCTCTGGGAAGTTGATTTGGCACGAGAACCCTCGCCCCAGGGAGCCGAGCGTGTCTTCTCACTATCCGTGTCGGCAGAAGTTGGCTGCCCCTGCCCCTGGCTATTAACACTGCCGGGCTGCTGCTCGCCATCGACGTCATCTCCGCCGCCGCCACCGCCGTTCGCCTCATTGCTGATGTTCAGCTTAAGCGAGAGCCTTTGGGCCTGTTTGGTGCGCTGGTGCTTGGCTGCGCGCTTGGCCTTGCGCTCGCGCTCCTTCTCTTTCTTCACCTGTGCTTTGGATGGCCCCAGCGTTTCCGGCCCATCAGTGTGCAGGTAAAACGGAGGCGATGACACGCCCACTTCCGACTCGCCGTTGCTGAGCTTCGGGTTGACGCTGTTGCTCTGGTTAGCGGACGAGGGCGAGTTCTCGGGACTAGTTCTGCGGCGCTGAGGCGGCTGCGGCTTCTCCACTGCCACGGGCAGTGATATATCCAAGAAGTACTCGTGTCGCGAGGAGATGTTAAAGCAGTCCTGACACGTCAGCGTCGAGACGAGAAAGCCGCGAAACACCTGCTCCGGCCGCAGTATGCGATCGGCTGCCTGATTGCCATAGATCTTGCACTTCTGGCGCAGCTCCTCCGACACACTGCTAATATCCTGATCCTTGTATCCCAAGTTCTGCAATATGACTCGCTGATAGCGCTTCAAGTCCTCAGAGCGTACGCTCTCCAGCAACTGGCGCAGCAGCTCGTGCGCATCGTGCTGATCTCCGCCAGTGAACTGTGGACATTTGGCGCACAGTTTGTCAAAGAGTTTGCTGGGCGTAAAGACGCTGCCTCCGGACTGCAGTTCCTCCAGTGCATTGGCCAGGGCGGAGGTGAGATTGCCCCACGAGGAGAGCGTGCCTTTTATCATGGGCAGCTCAACATCGCCCTTGTCCTTAAAGTTAAATGTGCCGCCAGGCAGCACAAATCTGCGAACAAATTAAGCACAAATTAGCTAGAGCATTGCCGTTTCGTCATTTGGAACTTACTGCTCCCCGGGCTCAGCCAGTTCCTTGAGTACGTCCAGTAAGAATGGTGTTTGAGCCAGACACTGCATAACGGCATTGAAGAAGCACGTATTGCCCAAATTGGTCAGACCACGCACGCGTGGTAATCGATCCAGTTCCGGGTTGCCCACAGATAGAGTGGGCGGCACGCCAGTCGCCGTCTGGTAGACGGCACGCTTGTCCAGCACACGTTTGGCCATGCCGGGCACTGAGCCGGTCAAGCTCGCTGACGGCGGCGGCGATGGCGGCGTTGGAGGCGGCATCGGTATGGCCGGATTGCCCCCAGCGGTCGCGCTGATCTCTTTGCCACCAGTCATCGGCACAATGGGATTGACTTGGTCGAGGGTTGACAATATTTTGTACACGTCGGCGACGGTGGCGAGCGGCTTCTGGGCCAGGCGCTTCACCAGCTCCACACAGTCGAGCAAGTTCTTGCGAGAGTTGGCGGACACCTCACTGCCGCAATCGTAGCACCAGATCTTGAAGGAACGCGTGTTCAACGCCAAAGCATGCGAGTCCGAATGCGGAGTCTGCAAGTGAATGCAACAAGAAGTAACCACAGTATATACATATGTATATGCAGATCAGAAACGTGTGTAGTTGCTTTTACCTGATAGTGCAGCAATGCGTGCTTGTTGCGCTCGCGGCTGCACAGCTGCGAGCCGCACTTGAGGCACAGCCAGAGTGTGTTGTCGTATTCACAAGCAGCTGATTCATTGCCACTCTCATTGGGCGGCTTCAGTTTCAGACACATCTGGCAGTCGTAGAGCAATCCAGTCGATTTGAGATGACGCCGCAAGCGCGTCGGATCTACCGCCTTCTTGATGTGCTGACAACTCGTGGCATTGCTTCCGGCAGCGGCATGACCATTCACCATCTCCTCCTCGCCCGAGTCGGTCCAGCTGCTGCCGTCCTGCTGTGCGTCTGTCTGACGCTTCTTAACCATGCTGCCGCTGCAGCTGTTCCCGTTGACGTTCTTCAACTGACCCAGCGGCTGTCTGGCCTCCCTCGCGCTCACTGAAAAGGAATAAGAGTAGACTGTAACTAGGATCCGGCCAATTAGAAGAACGGCGGCGCGTATTGCCCGCTCTAGAAATTGGTATATAGAATATGAAATTCTAGTACTCTTATTCATCGCCGTGCCAAATGCATCACTTTCGTTGTCCCGCTTGTATTGATTGTTGTTGTTGTTGTTGTTGTTATTAGAAATATTATCGCCGTTGCTGTTATTGCTCTTGTTTTCCTTCTTGTGTTTGTTATTGTTTATAATGTCGCTCTTGTTTGTTTGTGAACAGAGAACATAGCATACGCGGTTCTCCATTGGGCACTATTAAATCACACTAAATTCTAATTTTCGAAAATTCTGTTACTGCTTTGTCTACGTTATTCGTTTTTGATGACTGATTACGGGCTCTGATAGAGATTTTAAACTGATTTGACAGTGCCTGGCCGTTGGCCCTCTTTGTTTTGCTACACATTCACAGTAGCAATCGTGTCGTATGCATCAGCTACATCACTCAGTTCGTAACGCCAGATTGATACGGCGTATTGGGTGCATTGAATGGGAATAGTACGGCAAGAGTACTGCGGAAACAGGTTTTAAATCTGAGCCAATCAATGGCTAATTATCTGCATACGTTTATATATAGAATATATAGTGTGGACCAGTTCGGCCTGGGTTCGCAGAGGTCATACTAAAGCATATACTGGGTCTTATCTGCTGAGTAGTACTATCGTTAGTATATATAGTGTTTGTTTGGGTCACCTTAGGCAATCGAAATGCACTGCAATTCAAGCTTTGCTCGCTCAGAAATTCAAGTTGAAAGAGTGTAGAAACTTCGGCAAGCTGGCAAAAGTTTCGCTTGTTGTTATTGTTAGGCCCGTGTCGCGGTGTTCGGTTGCTGCTCCAGTTCTGGCCACTTTGTAGGGAGGCGCAGTGATTGGCATTATTTGTTTACTTTGGTTTTGTTTAATTAGTTTTGGTGTCGGATCTTTGGCGCACGTTCATTGGCACGCGTCGCGATTCTCCGACAGCCGCAGCGCTGCTGTTTGAGGTTAAGTTTAAGTTCAGGTGCTGCCATATTGGGTCGCAGCAGTCGCAGTCGCAGTCGCAGCAGTCGCATTCGCAATGTTGTGCTTCGTGTCTTCTTTTGTTTTTTGTGTTTGTGTTGTCTGTCGCGCGAGCCACGCAACTCGACGCGACGCAACTGCCATAAGCAGCACGCATTGGAATCTCGGGGACAGTAAACCCATTTTTCTTTCATTTGTTGTTGTTTTTTTTTGGCAATATATACAAAAGCACACACAAAGTTGCGCGCATACACACACACACACGTACACATGTACACACGTACATTGACACGGGGGTCCTAGTTAGAATGATTGCAACTTTGGTTAGGCCCTTGTTAGTCTAATTGCAAAGTTGTTGCTTTTTTCGCAAATTCATCTAGTGTGCGTTGCGTCGTTGTTGGCTTACCTTGACTTAGTTACTGCGATATGCGATACACATGAAGTGTTCTAGCGATTCTTTAGATTTGCGCCTAACCACTGCGTAAACACCAAGCAAACAAAAAAACGTGAGCTTGAATTGCGTTCGCATTCGCATCTAATTTGTATAAAAAGAACATCGAAGAAATAAATCGATAATTCGCTGAAGTGCAACCATGCACTTCAAAGTGGTTGGCGGAGCCATCGATAAGGTCATTCGATGTGGCGGTCGGTCGAATAGATACTATCGATAGCTATGGCAGCGCGAATTCAAATTCAAATTCAAAATTGATCAACACAGTGCAATGGTAACGACAGCGTTTGTTTATTTTATTGTTGGCTATCTAAATACTTTATTTTCTGTTTGCTTTCCGGTTTATGGTTGTGTGGCTATTGCTCTTTGCCTATTGAAATTGCGTAATAGCATTAATAGTGGTAATAGATTATGCATGCAGCATTCACTTGCCAAGCCTGGCCAGTTGTGGCGCCTAGAGGATTGCGAGAAAGCCAAATCGCTTGGTTCCAGGTTTAGGCCATCCACTAACCATGTGCACCCTGCATAAAAAGTTGAGCTTTAATCAATCGAAAACTAAGCTTTTACCGTATGTTCGGTCAATTGGCGCCATCTGTTGCCAAATGCCAGCACTTGTTCAGAAACTCGTTTTAAACGAAGAAAACAACTTTTTCAGGAATTATAGTTTTAAATAGTAAAAAAAAAAATATATATATATTTATATTTATTTTGCTTACAATTTCTCTTAAAATGCTAAAAATTGTGATTCAAGAAGAGTACAAAATAATGAACGCAAAATACTTAGAAAACACTTCATAAAGGCGAACAAATATTGGCGTTTGAGACAGCCGAGGTGTGTGATAGTGTGATTGGCGCCTCAATGATGATGATGCCACCAGCCGGCCTGGCGGGCGTTCACATAGCTCTTCAGACCCTCGCGCTGCGCTATGGACTGATGGGATGGGAAGAGATGGGGTCCGCTCGTCTCATAGTTGAGTCCGTTGTGCTGATTGAAGACATATGCCTTGGGCACCTCCACTCCGGTCGAAACGCTAACGCTGGAGAGGCTCTGTCCCGGGTCAACGGATGGAGACACTGCGGGCAGATAGGTGCGACTGGGTGGCGCTGGCGCCCAGCTGGTTGAGAGTTGGGGCTTCTTGGGCGGTCCAGCGGGACGATATGGCTTATAGATATTGGGTGGGGCAATGGGCAGCGACGGCTGCTGCTGATTGGGGGAATTGACCGAATTTGAGGGACCATAGACATTATTCCTCAAGTCGCAGACGGTGTTCTCAATGAGAACGCCCAGCGGAGCGGTATAGATGCGGAAATTGACATCGTTATAGTCGAGATCGGAGAGCAGAAAGACGGGCATGCGATCGGACAGCACCCAGACATTCTTGTTCTCATCGATCTTGACGTCTGCGGGAAAGACTAGGCCCACGTCGTCGCGATCCACAATGCCGTGGAACTGCGGCGTGTAGGGCATCGAGGAGTGCCAGCAGCCGACTGCATTCTGATCGATCAGATTGAACAGCTCGATGCCATCGTCGCTCATCACGCGAGCTGTGGTGTGGGAATTGGGCCCGCGCTCGTCCAAGGCAATGAAATCGTGATAGCTGTCCTCGGTGCGCGACTCGTCTCTCAAGATGCGCGTGGATACCGCAAACTGACGATGGCTGGCCAGGGGACTGAAGTAGAGCGTGCGATAGCCATCGGAGCGAATGGGCGAGAGTGCCATGCCAAAGATGCCCTCCTCGCCCCACTGGAAGTTCAGGCCGGCGATGTTGTAGTCGCCTCGCAGTGGATCTGGGAAGAAGTAGGAGTGGGCCGAGAACCGCCAGGACTTGTTCTGCTCCCAGGAGTACGTGATCAGGCCGTAGCCCAGCTCATCGGAGAAATACGCCATTGCATCATCGCAGGTCTTGCCAACGTCCACAGCTATGTTGGCAATGAACGTGTTCGGGTTCGTGTCCTCGGGGCGCAGTTCGTAGCGTCGGATTCTCGTATTCGTGGTCAGATCGAACACGTTCACGGCGTACGGGCAGGGATTGGTGGTGGTATTGCCAATGCCCACGGTGCCCGTGTCCAGCACCCAGAGACGTGCGCATTCGTCAACCTTGATGCGATACGCTGTCGTAATGCTGTTTGCGCAATCTCCAGCCGTATTGCTACGCCAGTCCGGATACGGTATGAGTTCCGGCGAGCCCGACAGACTGCGATCCATATTGATGTAGGTTAATGTGGCCGGAATACCTAGAATATATGAGCAGAGTCAAGCATTAGCCCGAAATTGAAAGGAAGGCCTTTAGTAGAATGAGCTGATGGTCGGAGCTATGGATGAACTGAAAGCAGTCCTTTCACTAAATATATATCTGCAGTCTAGGATCATTGGGGGTAAGCCATTGGGCAATTAATGCGAACACAGATAATCAGTGAAGCTCAAAGATAAAAACGCAACAATTTGCAACGATTTCAATTTCTTTTAGCTGTGCCACAAGCTGCAATCTTGGCTGTCGAAAATGCAACTTTCTAGTCGGCTGGCGATTGATGTGTTATGAGCTGGACATCAATCAGTTAGTCAGTCAGTTAATCAGACACTCAGCCAGAGAGCGAGAGAGAGAGAGAGAGAGAGAGTCAGTCAACTGTTGTGTCTGATATGAGACGTTGTCAAGTGAGTCGAGGCAACTTTTTCTTGGCTAATGCGCTGACTCTTCGACTCCTTGGCTCAAATTAAATGCCAGCAATTTCCGTTGTCATTAGCCACTGCATCATATCATCATCATCGCCATCATCAGCCTCATCGTCATCGTCATCGTCAGCGTCAGCGTCAGCGTCGTTCATATCGTCTGCGTTTCCGCTCCAGTTGACAAGCGCAACTTTAACCAGTTGCTGCTGGTAGCGGGCGTGCGCGACATCGCTCGCACTTGTCTTGGCTAATTCTATGAGTGGCATCGACCTACAGCTGTCCCCACAAGCATTGCCACAGCCAGCAGGCACCAGCTAACAGCAAACAGCTAACAAGCAGCCCCCCCCTCTCTCTGCCCACGGGCAATCAGCAAAATGCATTTACAAAACGCGAGCTTGAATAAGCAGCATTTCACAAATCCAAATGCAGTTAGCTAATTCGATTTAAGTCTTCGTTTCCGATTGAAGTTGCTTTTCATTTGCTCACAGGGGCAGGGTATATGCTAGTTGGGCTAGTTTAGCGTGTGCAATAGATAGATACTCTTAGAATGAGGAAATGATATTGTTGATACTCGGCAGAAGCATTGACCTCGTCCATATCTGTGCATTGGTTGCATAAATCGATAAATATCGATTTTGGGCAGACAGGAAATGCAAGATTTGTATATGTACATATATGACTTTTGCAATGTAACGAATATGGGAAAAGAAATCGATAATTATCGATGCCTAGTTGGGGTCTCCATAAGCCGTAGCTCTGCCTAGACTGTAGAGCTTAGATGCAGTTGAAGTGCAATTGAAGTCTGGCAAGGCTTTCAGGCAAAGGCAATTGCTTAATTAGTTCTATTGCAGCATTTACTCTGGAATGAAAAACTTGTATTTGCTATCGATCTAATCATCTATTTAAATGCATTAGGCCTGTCATGGAATCTGAGTTTAGTTTGGCTTTCAGCAAATCTTTGCCACTTCAAAATTCCAACTCCGACGTGCGACGGCCGACGGCCGACGGCCGACTCCAGCTCAAAGCTCAATCTGGAATGTCTCGCCCGATGTTTGTGTAATCTGCTTCGTGTGATGACAAATGAATACCCTGTTCACTTAACAGCATAAACAACTTTATTTTGTAGCCACTGCATGCATGTGTCAGCTGCCTGTCAGACTCGATGCATAATTGTGTCCATCCGTCTGTCTTTCGGTGTTTCGGTTTGTAACGCTGATCTGGTTATATGTATTTCTCCGCTCAGCGGACCTGTTCCCATGCATTATAAACAGTAGCGCAATGAGCGCATTTTAATAAACATTAATTTTGGTCGCTTAGCGCGTTTGCAAGTGGTTAAAAACCAATGAATTTACCATTAGCCAGATAACGCCGTCTCCCTCTCTCCCTCTCTCTCTCTCTGTCTATCCCGATCCATCTCCCTGCCTCTCTCCCTCCCCCCCTCTCTCTTTCTCTCTCCTTACCACCATGTGTGTGCTTACATTTCCAGTATGTCAATTGCAATGAGCGATCATTGGCGCGCCAAAAGGAGGCGCATTGAGACATTCGGTAGCTGTTGATATCAATTTGTAATTCAATGGCTCCAAGCTCATTGAAATCGCAAACAAAAATAAAAAGATGAAAAAAGGTAATCGAATCGAATCGAATCGAAGCAAAGCGAATTGAATCGACATGCCACAAAATAATTATAATTTGTTTTTTCTCTTGCGAATCGACTTCCAAATCCGTTTTCATTAGGCTTTAAATTATGTGGGAAACGCGCGATTTGTAAACGAATTTCAATTCGCCAATTTAATTTGCATTCGGTTCTGAATAATTGCACATTCGAAATGCATTTATCAGCACTGATCAGGTTTGCTTTACCAGAGTAGCTGGAGATAATTTAATGAATTTATTTAAAACTTAACGATGACAGCAATTTGATATGGCTTCATATGAATTTTCGTTTTCTAGCTCTGTTTATGCTAATTAAGCAAAAGATTTGTCAACGTTTTCAAACACTGGCCCATTACAATATTCATTTGAGGCAGTCTAATAAATTGATATCAAATCGAATACTAAAGTCAACTAATGTCAGTGAATGTCAAACATATTTCATTATCCGGCACTGACAATGGCAAAATTGAAAATTTGAAATCGCTTGCTTGAGCCAGCGAAATCCTTAACAATCCTACAAAAACTAGATATGAAAAGAGACTAGCGACAAATTCCATCTCTGACTAACCGCTTTCGTATTCCAGCACTGTTTGCCTGTCAAACTCGAATGGAATGTGAATTAGGCTTAAAGTATTTGCATTCAACCTGTCAAGCCGAAAATATTTCCATTCAACATAATTAAGTTTGTCGCGTAAAAGTTGTATTGTGTAAAAGTTGTATTTGTTGACCAACACTCGCATATATCAATAGGCAGTTAGTTGTAAAAATAGAGAAGTAATATCTGGTTTTAAATGGGAACCTGCTGTTCTGCATTGTGATTCATTCTTTCATTCTTCTTTTCAAAGGGCCTGAAGTTGATTGATTTGTTAATATTTCAATGAACCTTTCAATGGGAATGGCAATTGAATTGAAATTACTTGGATTGAATAGTCATAAAGCGGCCGGGCACTTGGCTACCTGGTAATACCTTTTGACTGTCAACTGGCTGCGGTTGTGGCCATTGTAAGTTGTGAACTCCACTTAAGACTAGCTAATTGATTTGGATTTAAGCCACATTTAACGGATTACTTTCGCTTTCGATTACTTTGCCGCACTGAATTCGACTGAAGCCTATGCGCCCACTTGCCACTTGCCACTTGGCACTTGGCACTTGGCACTTGGCTTTTGGCTTTTGATTCGGACGACCTTCTTGGGGCGTTGCTAGCGGTGCCATTCCAATATTCATATTCAAATGCCATTCCTCGAATGCGGCCCAAGGCTGCGCTAGACTTGTGAAACCTAGAAATCTGCTAATCGATAATGATTAGGACCAGAGACAAAGTCGTCAATATCTTTGTAAAGTTTCTTTCATGTGTTGCGTTTGTGAATATATTAGACTCGACTAAGTCTGATTCAGAATTTGAGAAAGGAACTCGGAAACTGAGTGATGGAAGATGAATTAGTTTATCGGTGGATTATTATAATATAGATGGAAGATGATGGACTGGGTATGGAATACGATAAAGTATTCAAGACGGAAAATGGATGATGAGAGATGGATTATGAATTATGCTATATGGAATATATATCTATATTCCATAGAAAATGGAAGATGTAATACGAAGATATGGAATATGAAGAATAATGAATGATGGTGGAAGTTGTATTATGAATTATGAATTATGGATTATGCCATATGGAATAATGAAGACGGAATGGATGATAGAAGATACCAAGGTAGAAGACGGAAGATTCGGATTACGTTAGATGATAGATGAAAAGAGAGAAAGATAAAGCACGAAAAATATACTCTCTTCTAAAATGCGATCTCTTTACCTAATGGGGTCAACGGAATTTCCTAAAATGTCGTAAAAATACCTCACTTCAAAGTGAAATCTCGTTCTTCAATGAAATTTGTTTACATTATTCCAATATTCTTGCGTACAGGAAGCAATCGAGCACTTGGTGAATTGCTTAACTTAACTGTCGAATATTTGGTTGTATAATTCAAGTTCGTTTTGCAGACATTTCCTTGACCATTTGGTAAGCCAATTGTCATATCGTGCAGAACCAACCAGAAGGAAAAACGAGCCACACAAACAACTCCACACAGCACATGATTGCAGTCAACTATTCAAACTTGTTGCACTCGAATGCAGCTCCAACTCTCACTCGGAATCGAAACGCAGCTAATTGTTTACTATTGCCATTTAGGTATATTCAGTTTTTGTTTTTATTGGTTTTTCTTGTTTTTCTTTTCATTTGCAGCGGGCCTCAAGGCTGTGATGAAGCCTTCACAATTTTCTTGTTTTTCATTATTATTGTTTTATTTGTTTGTTTTTTTAGTTAAATTGGCTTTTCATAAATTGCGTGTGGTAAATTCTCGTGAGCCGCGCAATGCCGCTTTATTGTTATACAACAACCGTTAGAATTGGCTGCTAATTAAATTATGTTTGGCTTAATTGAAGTACGAATGACTTGGATTTTCCGTTGAACACTGAACTCAACTTGGCGGAGCCACAAAAATTTTAGATACGATTCTTAAGATATTGAAAATTGTTGAAATTTAGCTGAAGTTTTGAAATTAGATTTCTATTTTAAAATATTAAAAAATTCTCTATTTTTTTAAATTTATATTTTAAAATATTATAAAATTCTCTTTTAAAATTATAATATTTAAAAAAATTAACAAAGCAAATGTTTATGTATTAATAGGACTTTTAAAATATTTATAAACATGAATACAATTTTGATATCCAATTAAAAACATTTCGAAATTCAATTCTCTTTAAAAATTAAAAAAAACTTTAAATGGCAAAAACAAAAGTATAAATATTTGAAGCTCGAATTTCAACTAGTCCACTTCAAGCTTTTACTATTCCGTTTTAGGGGAATTTTAAATTGTATTACAATTTATTTACATTTATGAATATTTTAAAATTCTTGTCAAAAGACTTAAAGTTTTTATAGAATATTAAAAAACCACTCATATTTGTAGCCCGAATTTCAACTATGCCGCTTCAAGTTTCAACTCTTCCGTTTCAATTTACAAAACTTGAATAGTAATGTATAAATACTTTTTTGTAATATTTTTCTTATAGTATGTTTCACTTTGTCGCGTATTTAAAATAGAAAATTCACTAGATATTTAGTTATAATATGAAACGTAATTGTTAAGCTAATTCCTGCAGCACATTCCGAAATTCTACTCGAAAGTAATTTCAACACAACCCGATTCACTTCTCTGGCAATTTCATGTTGAATGCGATTCAGTCACATGTTCAATCACAGATTGCAGATGGCCTGATAGATCGCTAATTACACGGCAATAGCATCGCGAGTGGCGAAGGAGGCAAGTGCTGGGTGCACAGGTGTCAATTAGCTGAGCTGGCTGCCTTAATGGCATGCGCAGAGTCGCGTTGCGTCAATCGGGCAATCAATTTATTGATCAATCGAACATGTTAATTGAGTGCAAAACAAGTGCGAAACACGACCAAAGCGGGCCGAAGGAGATCTCTGCCTATTTGGCAAAGCTAATGAGGCCCAAAATGCCTGATTGATTGGTTGATCGACGGATTGATTAATCGATGCACATGTATGTAGGTAGCTCTACTCACCGTCGCGCCAGCGCGGCACTGTGACGAACAGGCGATTGCCGAAGTGCTCGACGCCGACGGGCAGGGCGTTCTGAGGGATGTAGTCGCCGCTGGCGATGGCCTGCTCCTTGAGCCTTTCGCTGGGGAAGGCAAAGTCCAGTTGGTTCCAGCTGTAGCGCTCCTGCAGCTTGTAGGCGGCGCGGGCGTGGCCAGCCAGCAGGAGCAGCAGGCCGAGCAGGCCCAGCAGGCGGATGGGCAGTCGAAGGGCGTACATGGCGTATGCGCAATGCAGCTGATGGACGCTTGGGAATACACACAAGTACACTGAACCAAAAAAAAAAAATAGTGATATATGCAACTGTATATGGCTAGGCTAAAGGCGCTGGTGTCCTTTGTCCTTTGTTGGGGGCGTGGCTTGGATTATGATTGTATTCGCTTGACTCAAATCTCAGCTCGAGCGGCTGGCGCGTTCACGACTGTTGGCCATAACTTTTCGTTCACGTTTTATATAAACTTATTTTTGCAGTCGCAGCACTAGCAGCAGCCGCCGCAATGGCAGCAGCAACTGTTGCTGCTGTTGCCGCTGCGGCAGCAACAGTTGCCGAAGGCACAAGCGCGTGGCTTCCTCTTCGGCAGCAATCGGCCGGCTCGAGCGGCTTGGCTATCGCTGTGCCATTGTCTTTTGCTACCATGATTGATTTTCACGCATGTTTAGATAAAAGCCCCCCCTACCCGTTCATCCACCCTTTCAGAGGCCGCGCCTCCTTTACCCCCTGTCCCCTGCCCCCCTGCCCCTGCCCCTACCCATGCAGACTGCTGTAGTTCCGTTTAATTTGCTTTTAATCAAATCGGCTCAACGAATATAAAAAGCCACCCGTGACCCAACTGAGCAGCAGCGACGAATCGGATTTCGAATTCAGATTCGATTTCGACTTCAAACTCGAATTCGAATTCGCCTTCGCCGACGCCTTTCGCTGCGTATTTTAATATTTATTATTATTATTTTTTTTGTAATTTAATTGGCCTCAAAAAAAGTTGCTCGCAATTTTTTGGATTTTGTTTTTCATTTCGATGATTCAGCGCCGAGGGTCAAATGCGCAGAGTTTCCGCCTAAAGCGTGCGTAATATGCAAATACCCTAGAAAGCAAGTATATTAGCTAGAGCAAAACTTTTCGCTTACCTGCAACAGTCGTAGATTACATAATAAAGCACTCTGCCTCTCTATTTCTATCTCTTTCGCTCTATCGCTTTTACGGTGTCTACTCTCTATGTAGATTTTCTCCATCTCTCTTTCTCTCTCTCTGTCTCTTTCCTTATATTTCTCGTTATCTCTGACTCCTTCTGTCTCTTTTAATACCATTCTCTTCATTTTCTTCTATCTCCATCTTTCTCTCCCTATCTCTCTTTCTGACTTACCTTCCTGTATCATATCATAAATTCATTTATTGCTTAAGGTATTTGACATATTTGGTATAAAAGATATATGCTTCAGTAATACAAGTTAAAATTATCGAAATGGTGAAAGAGTGGTTATAATAGCAGACCACATACCAATTGCAGATCTATGATCTGAAGCTCTGAAATCCCTCGAAATCTCACATCAAAAATACAGACTATCGATCAAAATCTGTTCAAATATATTAACCTGCAATGAGAGATATGTTTCCCATTTCAACTCAATTTATTTATATCATTGCTTAATGTAATTGGGGCTAAGTTCAAACGGTTCTCGGTTTTACGTAGCGATTCTAGTCTGGTTCACTTTGCAGTATATATTATTATATTACATATAAATGATTGAAATAATTGACCTTAAATTCTATTCAATATTCTATTCTATAATATAGATATCTGCAACTCTAGATATCTCTATTTAAGAGCATTTAAAATGCAGTGTTCTACGATCCACAATTTTCATAATACTTTTGGCACAACTACTATGGTCTATAATTGCTTTTGGGCAGCTTTTAGGGCAGGTCTGTGCTATTCCATTGTTTTCTATGGTCGCATGCAGGTGCCTCCGCTAAAGTTCGAATGTCTCGGGGCATTAGTCAGCACTTTATGCGTGTTGTGAGTGAACAAACTATATTTAGCTGGTTGTATTACGTACAAAGCTACGTTAAAAACCAATTCGATTGGCATCCATTTTGACAGCTTTTCCGCTGCATGATGTCTGGCAATGGATACATTGTATCCGAAGTCCGGGCATAGCTTAACCGGAATCTGTTTCAAGCTGTTTGTCGAAGGACGTCGCCGACTGTCGATCGCATTTTTGTATTTCTTTATTTTGATATTTTTGCAGCTGCCAAAATGCAATTGGCGAATGCAATAATAGCCACAAGGCGATACGCAATACGCAATACGCATTTGCGTGGCATGCCCCAAAACGGCAGCAACATGAATTAAGCCGCAGCAGCCACCGCATTGCGTGGTGCACTATGCGTGGTGCATGGTGCGTGGTGCGTGGTGCGTGTGGCTCGTTAGGTGGCTGGCTGGCTGGCTGGATGGTTGGTTGGTTGGTTGACTGACTAACTAACTGAGTGACTACTTGGCTAGCCAACCACCGCAACGGCGGCGGCGGCAAGTGTGGTGCGATTGTGCATGCAAATTGCCACATAAATAACGAGCTCATTTCTTGGGCCTTTACATGCCCAAGAATGCCATTTGACTCTTTATACTGCAGATCTAGAAAAAACTGGAATACAGCCCAATACATTGAAAGCAACATGTTTTTGCATACATGAATGTCTGCATAGCCAGCATAATCTAGACTCTTGTCAATCTGGATTGGAATGACAAATACAACACAACATACATAATGTGCATAAATATGTGTTCTGAGTGATCTATGATTTAAAATGAATTTGTTTCTACATCTATATCATTATGAGGATAAAATAATGATGTCATTGTCATTGTCATTGTCATTGTCATTGTCATTGTCATTGTCATTGTCAT